AATTATTTTTGTGACATTAATAAATTTAATTGTAATTTGGATTAGCTCAGTCAATTTGACCGACCACGTGACCTTTTTTTTTGTACTCGTTTAAGGTCTTTATAGATTTAATACTTCACGATACTTGGTAGTCTTTCAGTTAACATTACAAGTCTTTCACAAACAAAAAATCGTATTTTTTAGTCAAGTATTTTGAGTAAAATACAATACAGATTTTTCCATGAATATATTGAGTATTTGTTTTGAATAGTCTGTGTGCGAAGTAATTTTCATGTTAAAATTAAAAATACTATTCCTCATCTCAAATGTTTTTTCTCTACCCTATCTTAAAATGGGATTGGCCAATTCGACCGACCTCGTAACCGCCAAAAAAAAAGAGAAAAGAAATAAAACTAAATTACCTTTTTTTTTCTTTCTAGAATGACTTCAAATTGTAACATGAAACTACATTCGTTTATCCTAAGTAGCTCTAAGTTCGTAACATTGTATATCTATTTATAATTAAATTTTGTTTTATTGCCCTTTGAACCATGTCTAACTACTATGTTGTCTACTTGGAGTTATGATGTTGTTACTGTTTATGTCTATTTAAATATCAATAAATTAATGGATTCGTACACCTGTCACTATATGTTTTTTAGAGAATATAATTGGACCAGTGTTTTACATTTTTCATCGAACTTATAAAATATTCAATCCACTATTATTTAGGCCACAAAGTCTTAATATCACAGTATTACGAACATCTTTCTAATACAGGCATGTCCGTTTTTCCTTCTGTTGTGACTTATGTAATAGTTAAGTGTAGTTTTTATATGAAAGCAACAGAAAGTAAACTTACCAGTTTCACACAGATGATAAACGGTGGCTTGCCCTCGGTAAAATGAATAATAGGAATTCTTGGCTTTGGAATTTCCTAGAGGGAAAACTTAAAATGTGATATATACAGTGTACATATTCTAAACAGATAAAAATTGCATTAACTTCCGAATTGTATATATATGTAAAAAACAGCAGTAACAACAGATGTAACTTGGAATCAGAATAACTTCCAAGCTTTACTTTCCTCCGAGTTTAACAGCTTTTGGAAAATATTACCTCTCATAGAAAATTCCTGCAGAGTATGAGTTAGACAGTATCTAGTGTTACTTTTTTTACCAAAATAATTTTTATTCTAAACCATAATAGGATTACCTTAGCTGCATCGAAAGATTCACACCCAAGATATATGGAAACAGATCACAAAATTAATGTATAATCTAATCCTGTATTTGGAGAGATAAAAACATAACGACTTCTTTAATTTCACGTTTGAAAAGACTAGTAGAAGATGAGCCACTCTATCGTGTGCTGCGAGTTCTTGATTATCACCCTTACGAGTGGTTATATGAATCAATAATTAAAACCTTCACTAACATAATTCTTTTGTAATAAGTTACTGACTGATTATGACGTACAAGTATTGAAAAAATTAAATCAACCAAGAAATAAAAACAATTATAATGACGTTTATTTTACATCTTCGATTAGTCGAATGCTTTAACTCAATGATGAGAGTATTTTAAATTATATTACCAGAATTGATCTGATAACTTATTTAACAGTTTTACTGCTATCATTTGAAAAGTAATAATTTCTAGGTTGTGAATTTAGAGTTCAAGTCCAAAAAAATGAGGAATGAAAATCAGATTAGGAGAATTAAATGCAGTTTTTACTTCTAATACATTATGCCTTTCAGTGATATAAAAAGAAATATATAGTTAACAGCACAGGTGACAAAGAATAGGTTAAACAACAGCCATTTTTTTAATTTTAAGAGGGTGACGTTTTGGGCTAGTGCTCTTTGTCAGATCGTACAGCTTACAACAACTGTACGATCTGACAAAGAGCGCTAGCTCAAAATGTCATCCTCTTAAAATAAATATATAAAAAAAAACTTGACAACTGTTTAACCTATTATTTAATATAAATGTATTTCAGTGATGCCTGTAAGATACCATGTACAAGTATAATACCTGGGGTGTGATTTTTTTTCCCGATTCTTGCAAACCACTAACGTACCTTTGATTCTTCGTGTATGTAAATACCCTTTTTGATCTTCTTTTCATCCACATCACAGAAAGCTGTAACCTGTAACAGGTCCAATAAGAAGTTTGCTGTAAGGTAGTATGTAATGTATCTAGCAACATGTTGACTAAATCTGTTTTTATGGTGTTTATATTTTGATACAGAGTTTAGATTACACACTGGGCTTAAGGTGTTTTTATCTAAAGTTTATATAAAGCATGGAGTCTAGAAGACTGTATAAAAACATTTCCATGGTATTTTGGTCACGTGGTTTTACAAAAACAAGTTAGTGAATGTCTGCTACTCTTTACACAGCTTGTAGCTGTAGACTTTGATTAAAAAATATATAACGGATCTTTTAAGTAATATTAACAAAACATCGAAAATACAGAACATTGGGTGAATCTGTAAACATGGTAATGGTATTAATACAGCCTTTAATAAAATATAAGACTATACAAAGAAAAATGATCCTAGTTTCCACTATAAATAGTAATAACTAACAGGTTCTTCAAATATACAATAGATGGTTATTATCTAAAAGAAAACCCTCAATGTATATTCACCTTATAGAATGTTATAAACACATACTGCAGTGACAGTAATGCTATTTCTTTAAAAATACTCTACACAGTTCATATTTCAACGTATAACTTGTTACCTTTCAAGTATATAAACAGTCAAGAAAGAGTAGAAACTTAGAATTGTATAAGGACAAAAAATCAAAGTTATAAACCTTTGACTGATTGGCTGATGTCAAAGAGCGAAATAATTTTCTTCCTTGTTTTCCTGCGTTCCATATTGTAAAGTTTTGCCACTTGGCTAGAACACGCTCTTCAAATTCTCCGACACGAATGTTCCAAATGGTGTCTCTAAAATAGCAATCAGAAACAGCTCCTAAGTATGCTTGATAAAAACCAAAATTTAGCCTAATACTGGTTCCTTTCAAACAAATTTAAAAATCTCAATTTTTAGAGAATGGATGTTTTTTTTTTGTTCTTGGCAAGCTACCCGATAGCCTAAGATTGAAACTGTTGAATTGATGTTATTACTTTTCTAACATTTGTAAGATATAAAACATAAATCAATGACACAAAACTGAGATTACAAACAAACACATTAACCACACATATATAAAATACAATAACAAAGTATACTATTTATGGCTTGGAAGGAAATATTTTTACTGACACCTAAGCATACAACTGCACTTTATAATATTAAATTGGAATTATCAATATCGAGATTAAAATGTACAAATATTCATTGACCTTTACGTAAATAATTTTGTGATGTGGCTATACAAAATATTTTTGCATTTAATACGAATATACTACAAAATCTAAATGATCGCACCTTAATATCGACACGAGTAACATTTAAATTACAACAAGTTTGGTGGTGTAGAACGCCTCTGGTGACAGAGCACAACGTTTGGTCATCGAGTGAAAGGTCTAGAAAGAAGTATTTGTTTGTAATTAAGCACAAACCTACACAATGGGCTATCTGTGCTCTGCCCACCACGGGTATCGAAACCCGGATTCTAGCGTTGTAAATCCGCAGACATACCGCTGTGCCACTGGAGGGCTTGTCTATGCTGTTTGTTTGTAATTAAGCACAAAGCTACACAATGGGCTATCTGTGCTCTGCCCACCACGGATATCGAAACCCGGATTCTTGCGTTGTAAGACCGCAGACATACTGTTGTGCCACTGGGGGCTAGAAGGAAGTAGCAAACAACAAGTAAGGGAATGGTGAAATGCTATTCCAGACACTCTTCCTACTGGCCAGTACAGAACAATGTGCTTTAAATTATTATCAACGTTATTGTGATGTTATGAAAGTACTAAAGATTATAAATGCATAATGACTTGGTGTTGAACAAATCATATGCCTTCCAAATATTCACCAAAGTTACATTGAAATATAAATTCATTCTGACCTATTTGTACACTGTTCTCATATAATGTGGTGTACCAGTTTCTAATCCTAAAACTACCTTAAAAATTCAGATAATATTAAGAATGAAACACAAAATATACTTTTTTTTTTACCCATCACATTTTGTTCTTACTAAATATAAAGTATATAAATATATTAAATAATAACATTTTATGTTTATAAATATATTCTCAGTGGTAAATTTAATGTTATACCAGACACGTGAGTATGTTTAAGTTTTGGAAATCCAACACACACTTTTTTTATTATGGCAAGCTACTACAATTTGAACCCACTGGAGTTAAAGCTCATGTCGTCCAGAAGATTTTGAATCTGTTAACGGATCAGTCTATCAGGCTTCAAACATAAACTGACCATTGGTCAGATGACATACTCTAAAATTGCTCGAAAAAAATCTCACCTACTCGGATACAGAAAATGTTGTGGCCTGAAGATGGTAGCGATAAGTGAGCAAATCCTCATCAATTCGATGTACTTTTCCTCCGTTTCGCAGATGTGAGAAGAAGAAAAGGAGATCTTCTGGTGTACCCTACAAAGGATAGGCACTAAAGACACTGACTCAACACTTTTTTTACTTCATTTTTACGAATAACTGCTAAAATTTCACTAGAAAAATAAAGAACATACATTACTTGTTATAAGAGAACTGTTTTAACTCACCGAATATCAATGTTGATTAATACCATAGTACTTCTAATCTATTGTTTGTCCAATTGTCTGGGACAAGTGAAACTATCATTTCAACAACTGAACTTCTACAAGTAGTTGTTCAATTTAATAGTTGGGAATTATTTGGTTTAGTTCTCATTCTTGCACATTTTTCCTTATAAAACTTAATTTTCCTGTTTCATCTGCTGTGCCATGTTTACCGTCGACAATTTCTCAATAAGAAAGAAATCAGAAAATGCAGAAAGTTAGAGGGGTTATGAGAAGAAATGGAGGATAGTATTAGAAACCAGAGTCGAATGAACCGACAGATGGATTGTCAAAAATGTAAAGAAAATGCACGAGTAACCACATTTTGTCAGGCA